CTTATCTCTCGAATTCTGCCCTCGTGATCCTGTAGTTGTTTCTCTCTCTTTTTCTCAGCCTCTTTATTTTCCATCATTTGGTCTTCTATATCGCTGATTCTCTCTTCTGCCTCATTTATCCTAGCAGTTAGTGCCCCCATTTTTGATTGCACCTCATTAGTAGCCTTTTTGATTTTGACTTGGTTAGATTTTAGTTCTTTTATTTCTCCAGAAAGGGTGTCTCTGATAACTTCCATGCTTTTTTCAAGCCCAGGTAGTATTTTAAAGTCATGATTCTGAACTCTAGGTCTGACATTGTACTAATGTCCGTATTGAGTAGGTCCCTGGCAGACGGTACTACCTCTTGTTCTTTTTGCTGAGGTGATTTCTTTTGTCTTATCATTTTGTCCCGAGGAGAATAGATGAATGAGAGAACAAAATGCTAACAGGTTAACAACATCCCCAGAAAATATACTCTAAACAAATCAGAAAAGACCTGAAACCAGGGGAAAAGAAAGGGAAAGAAAGAAAAAAGAAAGAGAAAAAAAAAGAAGAAGAAAAAGATAAAAACAAACAAAAACAGAACAAAACAAAAAAAAAACAATATGATCACATATGATCTGGCTAGTGCATAGATCAGTGCCACACACTAGATTCTGTGTGTATTTTGGTCTGTCAGAAGATAGTGCCTCCTAAAATTGTAAAGAAAGAAAGACATATATGTACAAAATAAGGGTTGATACAATGAAAGGATGGAAGATGACTGTAAAGATGAAAAGTATAAAAGATTTTATAAAAAGAATTGATAAGAAGTTGTTTGAAAAAAGAAAGAAGAAGATTTAAAAAATAAAAAAAGGGAGAGAATGTGAGCAGGCAGGAGACTAGAACAAAGCCATACACTAGAGATTTAGGCTATATTTTGATCTCTTAGAAGAAACTGTTGAACAACTTATATATATATGCCAAAAATAAGTGTAACTACTAAGAAGGGATAGAATATGACTCTAAAAATGAAAAATAAAAAAATTTTTTAAAAGGGATTGATAAGATGGTTGAAAAGGGAAAAAGAAAAATTCAAGAAAAAAACAGTTAAAAAATTAACTTTGAAAAATAATGAATCATGGTAAAAAAAGCCATGAATTCTATGTGCAGTGTTCCCCTAGCGCTGGAGTTCTCCCGTTCTCCTTGATCGGTAAACTTGGTCTTGGCTGGCTGTTCGTGCTGATCTTCTGGGGGAGGGGCCTGTTGCTGTGGTTCCCAAATGTCTTTGCCTGAGGCGGAATTGCCCCGCCCTTGTGAATCCGGGCTAAGCAATCTGCTTGGGTTTGCTCTCGGGAGCTTTTGTTCCCTGCAAGCTCTTGGTACAGCTTTGGAGGATGAGAGTGAAAATGGTGTCCTCCCAATCTCCGCCTGGAGGAGCTGAGAACTCGGACCGCTCTTCAGTGCGCCCGCAGAGAAAAGCAATCACTCCCGTCTCCCCGATCTCCGGCCGCACTCTGTGCTCACCCAGCCTGTGACCAAGTGTTTCTATCTCTGGCACCCGACCCCGTGTGGAGTCTCCAAACCCAGCAGATCCCTGCGCTGCTCCTCCCAGGGGAGGAAGGGTAGTCTCCCCTGCTCTGCTGCTTGTTGGGTCCCTGCTGGAGGAGCAGTGGCCCGACTGGGCCGCGGATCACAGTTTATGGCCACCCCAAGCTGAGAGCCCGCGCCTCGGCTCCGTCTCTGCAGCCAAGTAATAAGCATTCTTATTGGTTAGAGTTGATTTAAACCTGCCATGAATCTTATCTTTCCTATTAGCAGTGTCTAAATATCTCTTCCAGATCCTAGAGATCATTCTTTTGTCTTATAATTCTTTCTCCTTATGTTTTATGTTTATCTTAAATATGTGACTTTTCCAAAGCTTTCTGTATTTACAAAGATACAACTGATTACTTGTATCAAATGAATATCCTACTTTTAAAGGATACAAGTATGAATATGTTTAAGTTTTCTGAGTTATTAAAATTCAAAGGAGAAAATTTGGTATATAATTATGACAGATGTATTGATTTCTGCCTTTTTTAAAGCATCAAAATAATTAAAAATACTTTCTTTTGGAAGTTGGCCGGGGATACTTCGCCCAGATCCTTTTAAAGGGAAATACGTGATCTACGACCTGGATGGAAATGTTGAACAATATCACATAGAATTCCTGGGTGATCCCCATTCAAGATCATGGATTAATGCAACATTTGTTGGACATTATAGTATCACATTAAAGGTACGTACAGTAACATCAAACCTTTATTCTCCTTGCACTTGTTTTTAGTTATGGCCATTTTTGTTTCAGAACCTAAAAGATATATAATTATTTTCTTTTATATTTATATAAATGAAACAGTATATACTATTTGTTTAAAATTGAATATTTGTATTTTTAAACAAATTTTCTCGAAGTGTGGAAGGTAGGGTAGTTTTAAATTTTATTTTCCTAATGGCGATATAGTATAAATCAACTGAAGACTTTATATAATTGCCTTTTGAAACAATTTTAAGATTATCATTTGGTAGTTTTTAAAAATTCCCTTGAGAAGACTTTTAAGTTGTAGGCCTAGCTCACAGGGAAAATTAATTATGGAATGCACGAGATTTTCAAATTTCAAAGAGAGTATTTCATTATACTAACTCCTTCAGTATCTTTTTTACTCTTTTTAAACTTTAAAAATCACACATTACAACTAATAAATAGACTGGATTCTCAGGTTAATGAGAATAGGTGAACTGGACTTATTTCCATGGTTTGGTTTAGTCATAAATCAATTCAATTATCTGTGTTTGTATTCTAATATTGAAACTTTTCATCAGCAAACCATGCTTTCATTAGAAATCTGATTTAAAAATAGATATCAAATGTGGATTCCTTTGACTGGATGGTTTCTATTTTATAGTGGAAAGTAGATATGTTCAAATATACATGTAAGTGTATGTACATTTAAGGCACACCATTTAATCCACAGTATAAGTAAATCTGTGTAAATTTGAGGTACTTTAAAATGGGCTTTTGCTATATCTTTGGCATAAGCAGTATCTTTTTCTATTCAACTTGAAAGCAACTGGAAGGGAAGACCATTTTAATAAAAATATTTAAGTATAGAATAAAATACATACATTCATTTCATGGTAGTTGTGAGCCATTCTTCTTAATGTGAGGCACCTTCTCTGCTCTGATATTTTGGATGTGTTTGTTCCTAGGCACTTCTGCTGGCAACCACAGAAAACAGGAAGAATTGTTCTCCTTTCTGTGCCCTTCTCCCCTTTCCTAAAGGACAGGGAAACCTGTTAGCTTCTCATGAAGCGGACGTTAGAATCTTAGAGATCTGACAATAGGATAAAAAGCAAGGCATTCTTAAGAAATTATATTTAAATATAAGTAAAAACTAGAAGTGACTTTTTAAATTGTCTCAACTATATTTCTCAGGATTTGAATTCTGTCAGGATTAATTTAAGTAGTCTGATGATTCCAGTGAGCATACCGTTAGTCCCAAGGACACAGACCAAATCTGATGCAAAAGAAAGCCAAACTCAAGCATCTGAAGCCATAGTTTTTAACCTTCTGAAAGCATTAAAGTAAACTTAGAAATTCTTGCAAAGGTCATCGATTCAGGGCTGCTTAAATTAAGCAGATCCCTAATGTGAGGATGGGACAGAAAAAAATATTTGTTTCCCCTCCTCCTTCCCCTACTCTCCCAGCCAACCAGGTGCTCTGGATGGATAACCCACTGGGTGCTCACAAGCTCTGGGGCAGGATCTCTCCTCTGTTGTCATTCAGGGTACCTTTCCTACAGGCACTTTCTTTGTCCCTTACTCTTTTTATCTGTCTTTTTTCTTTACTTGCTACCTTGGAGGTGATCTAATATGGGTGCCTTTCTCTGTGGGTCTCTTCATTTTAGGATGAACTGTTAATACCCTTCTACCTCAAATTCAGCTGGCACATGCCAGATTGTCCCTCTGTGCTCTGATTCCCCACTTCTGCCTATCTAAGGATCTGCACTTACAGAGAAGGGGAGACTCATATTGACGCCTCATTGCCCCAATCTACTCAAGAAACAGAAAGGAAGAAGGTTGACTCAGCAATACTGCCAGCCAAGATAGAAAAATGGTCAAAAATTTTACATATGAGAAATTGATTAAAAAAGAATAATTTCAAAATATGTATTATCCAGGGATAGCTGAGATTTTCCTGTCTCTGAGAGATGGAGATAGTAGCAACCCCAACCTACAGTTCCCTTGCCTAGACTTCCCCAAAATTTAATCTTTTAATGCCCCTCTCTGCGCCGGAACTCCTATATCCTCAAATGCTGTCTCTACACTGTAGTACATTGATCTGGTTATTAAGTTCACATCCCCTTCCGCCATGAGAAAAGATCACTCACACAAAAGTTAATGTATGTAGACAATGTGGACTTTCTTAAAGGTTTTTCTAGAAGTGGAGGAGAGAAGTGCATTGCACAGGTTGTTCTCTTTTTCTAAAACTAGCAAAGAATGATAGGCATTTATAACTTTCACTGCTTTAATCAACTAAATCTTACTTCATACATTATTTCAATATCATTTTATCCTAATTTGTGTAAGCTTAGTTTAATAGATGACTATTTTAGAGTTTTCACTGCATATGGACTATGTATATTTTACAGTGTATATGTTAAGGTGGGAGAAAAATATGTTATCCTAGAAAGATATTATTTGCATTTATGAGAAAATGAAATACCTTTTTAGTGTTATATTATGAAAATTTTAACTTTTACTTCATGTTTGCCAAGCTTTTTTTTTGAATAGTCACTTTCCCCTGGTTGATATATTTATAGGACCACTGACTTACTAATTTTATTGTTGAAAGCATGACAGAGCTGTCACTGTCTATTGATTGGTACAGATGATAAGGTTTTCCACAATAAATAAAACTTCTCATAGATACACTGGGATATAGTTTAGAAAAAAGTTGAAGGTGATATTTAGTTGTGTATTTGTAATTTGTATTAGTTTATTCATACATTTTATTTTTTCATTACTAAAAAATCAGTAGCTATAAAGACAGCTGAAATCTCCCCCTTCCTTAAAGAAAATAGATGTGAACATGTGCTGGATGGCTATTTTTTTAATATTATTTTATTTTATTATGTTATGTTAGTCACCATACAATACATCATTAGTTTTTGATGTAGTGTTCCATGATTCATTGTTTCTGTATAACACCCAGTGCTCCATGCAGTACGTGCCCTCTTTAATACCCATCACCGGGCTAACCCATCCCCCCACCCCCCCTCCCCTCTAAAACCCTCGGTTTGTTTCTCAGAGTCCATAGTCTCTCATAGTTCATGTCCCCCTCCAATTTCCCCCCTTTCATTTTTCCCTTCCTTCTCCTACTGTCCTCCATGCTATTCCTTATGTTCCACAAATAAGTGAAACCATATGATAATTGACTTTCTCTGCTTGACTTATTTCACTTAGCATCATCTCCTCCAGTCCGATCCATGTTGATGTAAAAGTTGGGTAGTCATCCTTTCTGATGGCTGAGTAATATTCCATCGTATATATGGACCACATCTTCTTTATCCATTCGTCTGTTGAAGAGCATCTCTGCTCTTTCCACAGTTTGGCTCTTGCGGACATTGCTGCTATGAACATTGTGGTGCATATGGCCCTTCTTTTCACTACATCTGTGTCTTTGGGGTATATACCCAGGAGTGCAATTGCTGGGTCATAGGGTAGCTCTATTTTTAATTTTTTGAGGCACCTCCACACTGTTTTCCAAAGTGGTTGTACCAACTTCCATTCCCACCAACAGTGTAAGAGGGTTCCCCTTTCTCCACAACCTCTCCAACATTTGTTGTTTCTTGCCTTATCAATTTTTGCCATTCTAAATGGTGTAAGGTGGTATCTCAGTGTGGTTTTGATTTGAATTTCCCTGATGGCTAATGATGATGAACATTTTTTCATGTGTCTGTTAGCCATTTGTATGTCTTTGGAGAAGTGTCTGTTCATATCTTCTGTCATTTTTTGACTTGATTATTTGTTTTTTGGGTGTTGAGTTTGAGAAGTTCTTTATAGATCTTGGATACCAGCCCTTTATCTGTAGTGTCATTTGCAAATATCTTCTCCCATTCTTTGGGTTGCCTGTCTGTTTTGTTGACTGTTTCCTTTGCTGTACAGAAGATTTTTGTCTTGACGAAGTCCCAAAAGTTCATTTTTCCTATTGTTTCACTAGCCTTTGGAGATGCATCTTGAAAGAAGTTGCTGTGGCCAGTGTCAAAGAGGTTACTGCCTATGTTCTCCTCTAGGATTTTGATGGATTCCTGTCACACTTTGAGGTCTTTCATCCATTTTGAATTTATCTTTGTGTATGGTGTTAGAGAATGGTCGAGTTTCATTCTTCTGTATATAGCTGTCCAATTTTCCCACCACCATTTATTGAAGAGACTCTCTTTTTTCCATTTCATATTGTTTCCTGCTTTGTCAAAGATTATTTGACCATAGAGTTGAGGGTCCATATCTGGGCTCTCTATTCTGTTCCATTGGTCTATATGTCTGTTTTTGTGCCAGTACCATGCTGTCCTGGTGATCACTGCTTTGTAATATAGCTTGAAATTGGGCCACGTGATGCCCCCAGCTTTGTTTTTCTTTTTCAACATTTCCCTGGCGATTCGGGGTCTTTTCTAATTCCATACAAATTTTAGGATTGTTTGTTCCAGCACTTTGAAAAATGTCATTGGAACTTTGATTGGGATAGCATTTAAGGTATAGATTACTCTGGGTAGTGTATACATTTTAACAATGTTTATTCTTCCAATCCATGAGCATGGAATGTTTGTCCATCTTTTTGTGTCTTCTTCAATTTCTTTCATGAGTGTTCTGTAGTTCCTAGAGTATAGATCCTTTCCCTCTTTGGTTAGGTTTATTCCAAGGTATCTTACGGTTTTTGGTGCTCTTGTAAATGGAATCATTTCTCTAATTTCTCTTTCTACAGTTGCATTGTTAGTGTATAAGAAAGCAACTGATTTCTGTGCATTGATTTTATATCCTGCCACATTACTGAATTGCTATATGAGTTCTAGTAATTTGAGGGTGGAGTCTTTTGGATTTTCCACATAAAGTATCATGTCATCTGCGAAGAGAGAAAGTTTGATGTCTTCTTTGCCAGTTTGAATACCTTTTATTTCTTTTTGTTGTCTGATTGCTGTTGCTAGGACTTCTAGTACTATGATGAACAATAGTGGCAAGAGT